CTAAAAGCAAAGTAAAGAGATCATAGGAGAAAATTTTCATAACCTTGGTTTAGGCAAATTCTTAGATACAGCACTAAAAGTACAATCTGTTTTTTTTTTTAAAAAGTGATGAATTTGTCAAAAGGAACAACTTTTGTTCTGCCAAAGATATTGTTGGAGAATGAAAAGACAGCTACAGATTGTAAATATATATTTGCACATATCTGCTAGGGGATTTATTTTCAGAATTATATGAAGAACTCTCAAAACTCAACAAGAAATAACTATTTTAAATGGGCAAAATATTTCAACGAGCACTTTAACGAAGGTGTACAAATGGCAAATAAGCACATGAAAAGGTGCTCAACATCATTACTCATGATGGTAATGCAAATTAAAACCACAATGAGATGCTACTATATATCTATTAGAATGACTATAATTTCTAAAACTAACCATGTCAAGTCCTGCAAGGATGCTAAGCAATTGGATCTCTCATGCATTGCTGGCTGGAATGCAAAATGGTTCACCCACTTTGGAAAACAGTTTGGAATTTTTTTTATAAAATTAAACATTCACTTAGCATATAACCCAGCAATCCCCTTCCTAAAAATGAAAACTTGTGTTCACACAAAAACATGCATGTGAATGTTTATGGCAAGCTTTATTCAAAAACTGGAAACAACTCAATGTCTTCAAGTGATGAATGGATAAACAAACTGTGATACATCCATACAATGGAATACTACTCAACAATAAAAAAAAATAAACTATTAATACATAAGAGAAAATAGATAAATCTCAAATGCACTAAGCTACATGAAAGAAGCCAGACTCAAAAAGTTATATATACTATTTTATTCCACTTATATGATATTCTAGAAAAGATAAAATTGTAGGGATAGACAACAGATCACTGGTTGCCGGGTTTAAGAGTTGACAAGGGTTCAACTACAGAGGGACAGCACAAGTAAGTTTTTTACGGAAAACTGTTATGTATCATCATTCTGGTGGTGGTTACAAAACTCTATGCATTTATCAAAAATCACAGAACTGTATACAAAAATTTTACTGTATATTAAAAAACAATTTTCAAAAATAGGCAAAGGTAGTTAAGAAAAAAGGCAATTTGGCAGGTCTAAAAAACAATCAAAATAATAGAACAGGCTGGGCGCAGTGGCTCACGCCTGTAATCCCAGCACTTTGGGAGGCCAGGGCAGGCAGATCACCAGAGGTCAGGAGCTCGAGATCGGCCTGGCCAAAATGGTGAAACCCCGTCTCTACTAAAAATACAAAAATTAGCGGGGCGTGGTGTCGGGAGCCTGTAATTCCAGCTACTCCAGAGGTTGAGGCAGGAGAATCACTTGAACTGGGCAGTTGTAGGTTATGGTGAGCTGAGACCACGCCATTGCACTCCAGCCTGGGCAACAAAAGTGAAATTCCGTCTCAAAAAAAAAAATTAGCTGGGTGTGGCTGCAGGCACCTGTAATCCCAGCTACTCAGGAGGCTGAGGCAGAAGAATTGCTTGAACCTGGGAGGAGGAGGTTGCCATGAGTGGAGATCATGCCACTTGCACTCCAGCCTGGACAACAAGAGTAAAACTCCCGTCTCAAAAAAAAATAATAGTAACAATAATAATAATAGAACAGAATAAAAACAAGGTCTTGGGAATAATAACAGATCATAAAAAGAGGGCACTAAGTTGGGGATAGATTTTTTTTTTTTTTTTTTTTGAGACAGAACCTCCAACTCCGTGGTTCAAATGATTCTTCTGCCTCAGCCTCCCAAGTAGCTGGGATTACAGGCACGTGCCACCATGCCCAGCTATTTTTATATTTTTAGTAGAGATGGGGTTTCACCATGTTGGCCAGTATGGTCTCAATCTCCTGACCTTGTGAGGGGATGGATTTTAAAGGCAAGACAGAACTGCAGTTTTCCAAATCAGTGAATAATATCAAGAAAGTAAAAAAAAAAAAAAGAAAAGAAAGTAAAAACACTGAGCTGCGTATCAAGTATGCCTTTGGTCCTGATATGTCTTAGAGTCGGAGACCATTCTAAGCATATAAAAGGATTTCACATCACAAGTAAGAAAACAGAAATTCACAGGCTGGCAATTTTTTATCTCATGCCTCTCAATCGAGGGTTCTTAACATGCAGTACTTAGACAGAATTCTGGCAGTCTGTGAAAGTGAGTGAAATGAAAACACATCTTTTTAACCACTAACTGAAATGCATTACATTTCCTTAGGTCATGCATGTATGTAACTAACTGCAATAGACTAAACAGGACGTGTACCTTCATCACTTAAAGAAATCACAGATTCTTCCTATCATATTATTACCATGGATCTGTTGCTATCTTATTTTGTATGCATTAATAAACATATTTATAAATCACACTGAAGTTTTCTAGTATTTTGATAACTATATTTTATATAATCGGTTTCCTTTGTAATCCCATGTATTTTACCTTATACATTTAGAATACATTAAATGTTTTTAAATATACATATGAAGCATCTAAGGTAGTATTCATAGGCTTCCCTAAACCATCAAAAGGATTTATGGCAAATAAAACATTAAAAATCCCTGCTCTAGAGGGGAACATCACACACCAGGGCCTGTCGGGGTTGTGGGGTAGGGAAGGGATAGCATTAGGAGAAATACCTAATGTAGATGATGGGCTGATGCGTGCAGAAAACCACCATGGCAGATGTATACCTACATAACAAACCTGCACGTTCTGCACATGTACCCCAGAACTTAAAGTATAATTAAAAAAAAAAAAGGAAAAAAATCTAAATTATTTTGCCCCCATCTTACAAAGCACCTCTTTCTCCAGGGCCTGTAATATCCTTCACACACGCATGAAGTGTCACTCTTACCATGGTTATATAACAGTGTACACCCAAGACACAGATATGTATGCCTTTTTTAAAAAGCAAGTCATGTTTGTTTATGCTCCCTGGATAGTAGTCCGTATAAAATTAAATGTATCAAATAAATATTCCATCTAGTCATATAAAATACAAAGAGAGACCTTAGACTGAACACTACAATGCTAAATGAAATGTACTTTCAGAAACTACAGATGAAATTAGCTTAAAAAAGTCAATCTTACATCTCACATAAGGAATTTAATGAAGGCATTTCAAAAAGGATCTCAAGTTGATAAGAATGCAAAGTTTAACTCATTTACCTTTATTTTCTAAATACACTGTACAAACACTGCAGTATCTTATGCTACTCATTTAAAGGTTTAAAAAAAGGGTATCAAAACAAAACCAAGCACAAACAAAAAAGTCAGATCTCAAAGGTATCTACAGTATTAAAACTCTTACGATTTTTTGGGTTACCTGATAGCAATTACCAATCAAGTGAGACATAGCAGGCACTGAAACAATGGAAATGCCCACATAGCAGAAGGGAGTGAGGGGATCCAAACTACAAGAGCAACAAAATCAACTGTGGATCCAGAGACGAAAAAATGTTCTGTGGTGTAAAGGTAATCTGGTGAGAACGATGGAAAAAAATAACCATTTTTAGAAAAAAGGAATATTAGAAATATTGAAGTAAATATCACAAAAGTCATTCTATTACAAAGGCATTAACTCCTTCCTATCAATAGAATGTACCAATTTAAAAACTTTTAGTAGGAATGTATCTTCTATTTTGTAACAGAAATCAAGGGACAAAGAGAATTAGCTCATCCATACTTCCTACTCTTACTGGTTATCAAAACGTAGCCACAAAAAAACTGTTCATTCATTTTCATCTTAACAAAATAACATTTTTGGCTGGGTGCAGTGGCTCACGCCTATAATTCCAGCACTTAGAGACGCCAAGGAGGTCAGACTGCTCGAGCCCAGAAGTTCGAGACCAGCCTGGGCAACATAGTGAAACCCTGTCTCTATTTTTTTTAAATACATGTTTTTTAAAAAATAAAAAAATATCATTTTTATACATATAAATACCATTTTTAAAAAATTTAACAAAAATATAATGCATTCACTCTGTAATAATTTGTCATATCTCTACCAACATCTTAAAATTATATTTGTTTGTTTTTTGAGACAGAGTTTCACTATTGTTGCCCAGGCTGGAGTGCAACGGCGCGATCTCAGCTCACTGCAACCTCTGCCTCCCACGTTCAAGCGATTCTCCTGCCTCAGTCTCCTGACTAACTGGGATTACAGGCACCTGCCACCACACCTAATTTTTTGTACTTTTAGTAGAGACAGGGTTTTATCATGTTGGCCAGACTGGCCTTGAACTTCTGACCTCAAGCGATCCTCCTGCCTTGGCCTCTCAAAGTGTTGAAACTGCAGGCATGAGCCACTGTGCCTGGCCAGAATTTTTTATTATAAGTAGTCAAAATAATGAGTCTTTAAAATTATTATTTTTTTATTACAGAATCACTTTGTGCTCACTACAGAAAACTTGTAAAATATAAAAAGAAGAAAACAATGTCCCATAATCTTACCAACTAGAAACAACCATCATAACCATTTTATTTCTTGTAATGGTACTATCTTACTATTAGTAAGAATACTATTAATTAATACTTATTAACCACTTCCTTTGAGCTATTCAGCTAAGAGCTTTCCAAACATTTCCATTATACCTTTACAATAATCCTATTCAAGTAGTAGATGAACATGTGAATATTTTACAGTTTTGTCAAGTAGGGTTGAAAGAGGTTAGGAAATATGCCTAAGGTCATAGAGATAAATGGTAGAGCTGAAGCCAGCATCCTTGATCACTATACCACACCACCATCAATGTACAGATAGAGACAATGCTATACACTACTCTTTGCTCCTAAAATTACAAATATAATTTTTAGATGGCTACTTAATAACAGCACTTGGATATATAGTAACTTTACTGACTCACTCCTCTCCTGGATTCATGTTATATTCAGGATAGGTGATTCATTCAATATAAAAATAAAAACTAGATAAATGCAAGACTTGCTTGTCCACTTCTAAATTTATATTATAATATATAATTCAACTTACCCTTTTACTGAGGCAAATAACTGGCCACATACTGCAACCTAACGTGCAGCAGCAACAAAGGCAGCCACAAAGTAGCCAACGTACATTAACGGGAAGGTTCTTCTTAAGACAACTGTTAACTCTGTTGATGCTGGCTTTAAATTCTTCAGGAGCTACCTAAAGAAAAATTTTAAGAAATAATAACAATGCAATATTAATGTCAAAAAACATGACTGATAAGCATACTTTTTTCTAATTTTCTCAGAAAACTGTCATTTTGAGGCATACAAATAGTACAAAAATGAGACACTCACTTTTCCAGTTAATGAAGAAGGGAATTCTGATTCAAATTTGTTGCTCAGTCCAAATCTATTTTTAAAAAATAAGAAGAATATGTTATTACATGTCATTGATGCCAAAAATATAGACCATTTAATTTAAAGGTCAAGTCAATAGAAAGCATTTTCACATAAGGAGGAAGTTTGAGACATAAAATGGAAGTTTGAGATAAAATAACTGTAATAAGCAATTTATGAAATGTAACAAGCAATTATTTTAGCAGTTAAACGGAAACTTTTGCATAATGATAAGGGGCTGAATGTTAATTAACCAGCAGTATGTAAACAAAAATATAAATGGTTCATTTAATTTGAGCTACCACCTTTATATCTTAAAAAGTTAACTACAAAGCATATTATTTTAATGGGTGGGATAGCAATTTTTTCCAGCTTTTAATGTTATTGGTGGAAACAAACAATAGCTGTGAATTTTAGCAGGTGTCCTACACAAGCAATAAGATGAGAAGCAAAATGCAGGAAAAAGAGTGGGGAAGGGGAAGAATAAGGAAAAAGGGAGAGAAAAAATAAAAAAGTAGGAACGGACAAAGTGCTACCAAGAACTCTCTTAGGTTCCATTCAATACCTATTTGTCAGTGCATTAGATGGTATGAAAGAAAATGTAGACATGTACTATACCTATATCTATTCCTATTACCTAAAAGATCTTTTCTTGAATCATGGTTAAAATATTCCATGGCTTTAGAATTGATAAAAGATTTAAACTATTTTCAAAGAATGGTAAATATAACAAGAAGATAAAAGACATAACAAAAACAACCTATTTTGCTTTTATCTATCAGAAGTCTACCAGTACTTGGAGAAAAGAGAATTCATTCAAATCACAACTATTGAGTACATTCCATGCAAAATTTCAATACAGGCTTTTATGGCTTTTACAGCTTCCTTTGTTTCCTTGAGAAATCACATATGAGACCAATTTTACTTTTATGTAATTTGAGATAATTTTGAAAGTTCATGTAATACACACTGTAAAGTTTCGAAGGGGGAACTCCAACTTTACACCTAAATCTAAACGGAATCTTGAAACAGGCTTGTTTTACTCATATCCTACATACACCCATTTCACTATTTCTACATTCCTCCAGTCTATAGTCATAACTCAGTGCAAACCACTCCAATCTGTTATCCAGCTTTCTCATCATCATCAAATTCAGGTTTATCTTTCCTGACAGACCTTTTCCATTCCAAACTCCTTTAACACTTTCCTCTGAAACCCTCAATCTGTTGATCTGCAGCTATCAGGATACCTCCTTACATCTTATCTTAAAAAACAAAACAAACCTTAAACCTAGTCATGTGCCATATAACAATGTTTCAGTCAGGACATACTTGAAGGTGGTCCCACAAGATTTTAATACTGTGTTTTTACTGTATCTTCTCTATGTTTAGATACACGAAACTTACCACTGTGTTATAACTGCCTACAATACACAGTACAGTAACACACTGTACAGGTTTGTAGCGTAAGGGCTATGGGCTATATATCATATAGCCTAGATGTGTAGTAGGCTACAACATTTAAGTTTGTATACACACCCTCTGTGATGTCTGCACAATGATGAAATTGCCTACCGACCCATTTATCAGAATAGTCCCCATAGTTAAGCACCACATACCTGTACGTATCTTCACTTTAACCACAAACCCTGTTGAAATGCCACTCTTTCCTTAGAAATCCTCAACTACAGTTCACTCCTGACCTTATCTATTCTAAATAACTTTACCTCCTGCACCTCCATCTAATTCAGCAACCTACTCACTGTGATATATTCTGCATATTGTCATCACTTGGGACTGTATCACCTCTGAAATTCTGAACTGTAAAATTCTCCTCTTACCACTGCCATCAATCATTTCATTTCTCCCATCCTTACTAAATTTGTTTTTTGGCCTCTGGTTGTAATTTACTACTTCCTACCCCTCCATAGCTCCCTATGACTCCATTTCCTTCCTTATTTGCCAGAACTACAGTCAATCATTTTGAACGTACTCCAACAAACACCCTTAATCATCTCTACAGTGTCCCTTGCCAACCCAGGTTCAATTAAATTGTTTACTTTCTTCACACTGCCTGGAGCTACTGGAGAAAAATCACATTTATAAATGCATCACTATTAATAAATATATATAGAAAATACATATCTTATTTCTAACCTCAGTGAGTATTATTTTAACAATATTTATTCATCCCCAATAAGTTCCCTTTTCCATACTCCGTAGTTGTGGCACCTGTCTTTAGGTACTCCACTTTATCCTCACAACATTTTTTTGCAAATAACCACAGTTGTCAACTCTGAGAGAAAAAAAAGTCATTGAATATAAACTGCTTTACCTTCCCTCCCTTTTATTTTTGGACTTACTTTTATATCTTCAGTAATTTTACCATCTCTCAATGGAGGAAAACTTCCAAAAACTAACCATTTACTTCTGGTTGCATCTCCTCTAGTCTTCACTGCATCCACTGTATTTCTACCTCGCTTCAGGCTACTTAAACACAGCCTACAAACCTGAATTAGTCTATCCACCTGAGACTGTGAATCCCTATTTCTTCTTCTCTCTCAATGTCTGATGGCATCTATTTCTTTCCGTCCTCAACTAATGTTTTGAAAGACTCCTTTACATTAACCATCTTTACGTTACCTCTCATTCATTATTCAAACTACCACAATCCAGGCTTTCCTACACACTTCTTTACTAATAAGACTGTTCTCATCAGAGTAGTAGAAAATCACTCTTTTCAGCAAGTCTTCTTTCATATAGCATGCTTTCTCCAGGCAAAGAGCTTGAACGTCAGAATTTCTTATTTGGCATAGGCCACAGCAAATATCTCCTTTGCTATGTTTTTCATCCCTGCCAAAACCTTCTCTCTTTTTTTTTCCAAATCTAGACCAACCAAAACAATAGTATCGGGTAGAATTTTAGCAAGACCATCCTATTTTATTAAATGGATAAGAAAAGTCACACTTCTTGTTTGATAATATAACTGTAAAATATCACCTCTAATGATTTATTTTTGACACAAACCACTTAATTTTGACAATACCTTAGTTCTGGTTTCTTAAGTTCAGCAGAAGGCAGAGACTGTTAGAATGAAAATGGCATATATGTTTTGCTTTCAATTGACAGCATTATAAATGTACCCACAAGTTTACATAAAAGTTTTTAAATATGGTAAAAATCATTTCCTTTATTCTAAGACAAAGTACAATTGGCTCAGCACAGTATCAGAAAGGCCAAGTTTCATCCAATAAAATAATAATTTGATGTACTTGAAAGAAGAGCAACGATTCCTGCACTGAGTAGGAAGCCGAACCCCCTTCAGACTCTAATAACCAAACACTCTACTAATCCAAAAAGCTAGAAGTAGCACTTGGATAATTTTTTAAAATATGATTTAAAGTAGGTGGCATCTTAATCCAGTTATCTACAAGACTAATAAAATTACATTTAAAAAATATTTTATGTTGGCAAGAAGGTCAAGATGGAAAAATATCACACACTATCAATGGAACTATAAATTGTTACAACCATTTCAGATTAATTTGGCACTGAAAATATTTATATCTTTGTCTCTTTAGAAATGTAATATTACCTAAAAAATAACTTGAAATGTGGATTAAATTTATGCATAAACAAGTTCATTGAATCTTTATTCACAAATATAAAAATGTATCTATAACATTTTAGGAATGGTTAATTATCTCAATATAACAGAATATTAAACAACCATTAAATATGAAATTTGTAAACCAAAAACATGGAAATATCATTGAACATAAACTTCTTCACCTTCCCTCCCTTTCATTTTTAGATTTATTTATATATCTTCAGTATTTTTACCATCTTTCTCAATGGAGGAAAATGTTGAAGAAGAAAATTCAGTATATCATGATCTTAACTAAAAAGAACAAAAATCTCACAAGTTGATAGAATTTTCAGGAGTGCAATCTGGTAGTACGTAAAAGGGGTCTTAAAAAATATTCCTACCCTGGCTGGGTGTGGTGGCTCATGCCTGTAATCCCAGCACTTTGGGAGGCCGAGGCAGGTGGATCACCTGAGGTCAGGAATTCGAGACCAGCCTGGCCAACATGGTGAAACCCCGTCACTCTAAAAATGCAAAAATTAGCCGGATGTGGTAGTGGGCGCCTGTAATCTCCGCTATTCAGGAGGCTGAGGTAGGAGAATTGCTGGAACCCAGAGGCGGAGGTTGCAGTGAGCCGAGATTGCATCATTGCACTCCAGCCTGGGCCAACAACAGTGAGACTGAGTCTCAAAAAAAAAAAAAAAAAAAAAAAAAAAAAAAATTCCTACCCTTTGATCCAGTAATTCTACTTCCAGAAATGTATCAAGAGAAAATAGCTGCAGTGGCACAGATATGTTAATGAATAATCAAGTATTCTGTAGTGTTATTTTACGGAGGGGGTATTAAAGACATTTTGTGTCATTTGTTGTTTTTTTAAATAACAGCTATTTTTCAGCAATGCATAGTTGCTGTTAACTAAATAATTGACGAGTATTTTATTTTATTTTATTTTTTTGAGACAGGCTCGTTTTGTTGCTCAGGCTGGAGTGCAGTGGCATGATCTCATCTCACTATAACCTCTGCCTCCCAGGTTCAAGCGATTCTCATGGCTCAGCTTCCCAAGTACCTAGGATTACAGGTGCTTGCCACCATGCCAGGCTAATTTTTGTATTTTTAGTAGAGACAGTGTTTCACCATGTTGGCCAGGCTGGTCGCGAACACCTGACCTCAAGTGATCCGCCCACCTTGGCTTCCCAAAGTATTGGGATTACAGGCGTAAAGCCACCACACCCAGCAGACAAATATTTTATAACGTACAATACCATCCTAATTTTGTTTTCTTATTTGAATATTTTATTTGGCATTAACTAGGTATTTTAAGATAAGTAAACAGGGAAATTTGGGTTCACTAATCAACAGTTTTCTTGAATGCATTTCAATTTTTTCCATAGTTCAAGTCCATATAATCCTCTGTCCCTCTTACTTCA